ACAGAACTTAGTCCTTTCACTTCTTCCTTTACGGTCCCTAATGGTGAAAGGATTTGCCATCTTCTTTCAGAAGCTGTATTTTCAAATTCTTGTATGTTTTATGAAAGACTTCTGCATCGTCAGTACTTGCTTTATGTGGGTTAGGTATATCATAGCACACCCCTCTTGGAGCTGTCTCTTAAAGAAAACGTTAATTGAATCCCATGTTCCCCATTCTTCCTGCACACAACCAGAGGAGTCTGGGACTGGTTTGCAGAAGGGTACAACAGATCTAGGGGCTCAGATGCCTCACCTGGAGCACCAGTTCTGGCTCTCCTCCCATTGTGGGGTTCCATTTCCGACGGTTGAGGGTGGATAGGGAGGGGGAAACTCCAGCACCAGGGGTTTCTTCAGGTCCTGGATGCTGGAGGGGAGAGCTGCTCCCCCCTCCCCCCACCACGTGGCCCCATGGCAGCAACAAAGTCAGCACACAGGACTTGGAGAGGAGGCAAGAGAGGGAGTTTATTGTTGGGGTGGTCACATATATAGGTCCTAGGAGGATTCACAGAGTAACCAGTTACAGGCTCAGGGTCTCACTGGAAACACCAACCGCAGGAAGGGGTTAACAACCAATAGGAAGGGGTTAACAAGGTCCAATGAGAAGACTTCTTGATATCTTCTCAGGACATTCCTGTATGGGAGATAAGAGTTCTTCACAGACGGTGTCGGGAAGAAGGAGCAGTGACTTTGCAGAAATACAAAAAAACCATTTTAAGACATGTTTAAACAACAGTTTTCTCATACTGCTACAAACAGAGAACATAGAAAGCAGTAGAAGAAAAATGCTATATGCTCTGAAACCAGTCAATTCTTTCTTACTTTTATCTCTCTTTATGGTTTACCCCCTATAAACAGCCTAAATAGGGCTGTTGTAAAGATAAACCTGTTACTGGTCTGTGAAGCACATACTGAGTGTAGTGGTGAACAGAGCTGAGGGCTCCTGAGTAATTACATCTTCACAGGATTTGGACAGTGTAAATCAAGCAAAACATGCTACCATTCACTGAGGAGGGAGGGATTAAAATACTGACTCTTTGCTTATTAGGTGAATACCATTCATGTTGAGGGTTAATTGACACGTCACGTAAAAAAAGCTATTGTGATCATGTAAGGTCTCCATTATAAACTGAGAGGATAGCTGATGGCTATATAGCAAATCTTCAAACAGGTGTTTTCCAAGCATTTTGTGGATGATTTATAAATCTTAATTGTAAATTCATTTTATAGATTTTTTTTCCTAACAGCTTGGTCTTAGAAAATGAAGATCAAATGAAGATCAAAACAGAATCTGTTTAATTATCCACTGCAGCCATTGACAATTTTTTTCAGACCACTTCTAACAAATCTGATATGCATGTTTTCAAGCAATTTCAAACAATCAGTGTTCAAACACTAATTGCTAACTCTAAAATATTTTTTTTGTTTTTACAGATACAATATGGAATGTAGACCAATTAGGCAAGTACTTTTTAATGTGCATGGTCTAACCCTTTAGTCTTCTTAATGCCAATGGGACTATCCACACAACCTTAAGCATATATGTACCTGCACAAGTGACATGTTCTTCAGAAGCATGCAAAACTCCCAAATCAATAAAGTAGAATGTACTTATTATTACGCAGTCACAATCTCTCATTAAGTAAATCCCACAATATCTAATAGAATATTAAAATTAAAATTAAGATTTCAAGATCGTTCAGCTTAGTGGTTAACTTAAATGTGGAAACAATAACTAAAAATGCAAAAAAACCACCAAAACCAGGAATTCTCCATATAAGATGAGCTGAAAAAGGATTCCAGTACAAAATTCAAGCTGAGGGGAGCAACTGGGAAAAAATAAGAACAAATAAAGAAAACATTAAAGAGAAACCAAAACAGAACAAAAATAAGCAAACAAAAACAAAACAGACAAGCAAAAAACCAACCAAAACTCTTTTGGGTACAAGGATATCAAGATCCCAAGTAGACAATAAAACAAAAAAAATGTAATTTTCTCTTGTGCATACATATCAATAGCAGATATAACATAAAAATTATTAATCGTAAGCATAAAATCAAAGCCAATTTGTCAACCTGCTCCTCAGGTTGACCTACCACTGGGAGCCTAGCTAATACTGCCCAGAGACCTCTTGTTCACAACATTTGAAATAATGTCGACATGGTCTACACTGGATCATAATCAAATGTTGAATTCTCAACATTCTCACATAATAAAAATTTTGTTTTCCAAACAGTCCCAAAATATTAAAGTAGTTGTTAAATATGTCCAGGACAAAATACTGTGGAAATTCAGGAGTTATCAATTTTACACTCTCTGTACCAAAAATCCAGGTATATGCCTACTCATCTCTTTATGTATAAGATAGTATCTTTCATTCAAGGCTGAACAGTACTTTACATATTCTGTAGTCACAGTGAAATAAAGAAGTTGGCACCATTGATAAAAAGACTAATCTCTACAGAAGGAGTGGATGTGACAGTAAGATACGAAGTGGACAACACCACGCTTGAAAAAGCAGCAAAGGAGAAAGTGAGAAAATATCAACATCTGGAGAAGGAGATCAAGGAGTTAACTAATAAGGATAAAGTCATCTTCATGGGCTTTCCCCTTGGAGCAAGGGGTAAGTGATATAATAAAAATTTTGATCTCTTGCAGACTCTGGGTCTATCAGCCTCAAAGCGGGAAAGGACAGCCCGAGCTTTAGCGTCCAGAGCTCTCCTCACCTCTGTTGACATCATACATATATTTGCAAGTAAAAGTTCACACAGCTTTGTAAGTAGTTAAGTCCTTATGTTGTTACTAAGTTTTAATTTTTCTGGTTTTATTCTTTTACTGTTTTTTATTGTCTTTTTACTGGTTTTATTGTCTTTTACTGTTTCTCTTGGTTTTAGTATTAGTTGTATTAGTTTCCCTTGTATCTTATTAGTTATTATTAAAGCTGTGTTTCCTGTTGTGACCCTATCCCCCAAAAGTGGTGAATCTCGTAATGATTACATCTAGCGCTCACTGGACTGTAATGATTACATCTAGCGCTAACCTGACACGGCAGTAGAAAATTGTTGGCCCACAGAACTTTCAAGCACAGCACTGCCACTTTTGCAGCACTTGACTGCTTCTTGTCACAGCATTCAAAGTTCATACAGGTTGTATGATGGAGAAACAGAAAAGCAAGCCTTAGACTCTAAAACTATCCTAAACATTTCCGTATCTCAAAAGGAGGCACTTTTCATTAACAATAAAATTGTCTCTCCTGCCTTAGTTATTTTAAATCTGAACAAATTTTAGCATGTTCCTTCAAAAGAACTATGATGTGTAGATGTGTGGTTTCAGTAGCAATGAATGAAGAACGTGGAATAAATTGATTATTAAAATCAAAAGCAGTAAGAGCAGTAATCAGATACATATTGTCATAGAGTACACACATTCTAGCAAGTCAACTCTTATGGACAAATCAAGCAGTGCCATCAAAACTCAGTAAGCTTCTGTCAGTATGAAGATCTCTACGGATTCTCAGATCAGTGACACACCTGATATAAAGTCCATAGAATGAAATTATATTTGTACTAAGTTTTAACCTCTTCTAATCAGTTCAAAAACCTTGAAGGGATATTTTAGGGGGTTTTTATAGCATATCTTGATAACAATTTGTATTGAATCCTTCTTGTTGCTCAAAATAATTTTCAATGTTCATAAAAACTTCAGTATTGCTTTTCCTTTAAAAATGTACCCTAAGTCACTTATCAGCTATTCCACATGTTTAAATTAGGTAGCTCCTATGAAATAAACTATGCTAACTAAGAAAACAATAAAGAGATTCAAGAAGAGAATATATGCTTTGAGGGTCTCTGAAAAAACTTAAAATACTCAAATTTACACGTACATGTACGTTTATCTACAACCGTATTAATCGAAACATAAGCACAGTGCTGTCTCTCCATCTAATAAAATATTTAATACTATATGCTTTACTTTCAATATGAAGAATACAAATATTTTTTTTCATTTCTGTTTAGAAACAGAACTGTACATTTTTTTTTCTATAGTTAAAAAAAAAAAAGACAAGGGAAATGAAATTGAAGCAATTTTAACCACAGGGAAGTGGGGGCAAGCAGAGTTAAAGCAATGAATCATTTTACCCTCAGGACTATCTGAATCAGAGTGTTTCTGAAAGCTCTATGTTAGCTACATTTCCTTCTTCTAATGATTTTAATTTCTTTTTCAGCTGGGGACGAGGAGGGCAGGATTGACAAAGAAAAGCAATTCAACATTAACAGATTTGTATGAAACACAAGAATCTGGATGTGTCTTGCTTGTTCTTACATCTTCTCAGTTGTCACTCGGTTGATGATTCGTAAAACTAATTCTTATTTTTCTCTGATGTAGGCTGTAACATGGTTTAGTCACCGAGTTCCAGGAAAGTGAACGTTTTTACTTTAGAGCTTTCATCTGGCATCCCTCAATACTCTGAACAATATCACCTCCCCGCTAGCCTTTTAATGAACTTCTGAGAAAGTTGGGTAGAGACGATCCCCAGCGCGGGGCGCCGGCTTTGAGAGGCTCTCGGGCCACCTCGCGGGCAGGGACAGCCCAGGAGCCGGGACGGAGACAGGGGCAGGTCAGGGGCAGTCGCAGACCGGGGTAAGGCCAGGGGCAGCATCCCTGGACCGCGGCACCTTGGCCATGAGGCTGGCCGATCTCTCCCGGGACCCTCGGGCAGCCCCCCAGCTGCCCTTCTCGCGCCGCAGGGCGCCCCTCCACCCCTAAACCCTGCCAGTTCAAACGGAGGAACCGTTCCGCCCCCAGACGACCCCGCATCCTCCCCGCCCCAACGCCGGCACCCCGGCCCGACCGCGCCCCCGCCCCGTCAATGCCCCCGCGGCCGGGGCCCGCCCCCAGGCTGGGGGTCGATGACCCCCCGCATCCGACCGCGCAGGTGGCGCCGGAGCCGCCGCGGTCCTACCTGTGTCCGCACCCGTCACCTGTTGCCCGGCCGCCTCCATCCGCGCAGCCCCCCGGTGCCTCCTCGCGCTCCGGTGGCGCCAGGGGCTTCTCGGGCTCGCAGGCCACCTCCATCCCGCCGGGCACCACCTCCGCCTCCTCCTCCTCCAGGGACTCCACGTAGAAGACGGTGCGAGGCGGCGGTGGTCCCGGTCCGTGCCCCGTGGCCGGCCGGCCGCCGGCGGGCAGCAGCGTCCCGTTGGGCGGGCTGGCCGTGGTGGCCGCCGAAGAAGAGGAGGAGGCGGATTTCTTCCAGAAGACGCCGTTGCCTCTCTCCTGGCTCTTCAGCAGGCGGCTCTGGCTCGGTCCCCAGTGCTCGAAGCTGCTGTCGGGAGGCAGGCAGCCGCCCCCCGCCGGGCCGCCCGCCGGCGAGGGGTGGCTGAACAGTTTCCAGCGGAGGCGCAGGATGTGCTTCACGTCGAAGTCTTTCCTGCCGGAGCCGGACATGGTGCCGCGGCGGGTGGGGGACGGGCCCGGGCTGAGGCGGGACTCACGGCGGCCAGGCAGGGCCAGGCGGCGGCGGTGGCGGGATCGCGGGGCGGCCCCGCTCCCGGCAGCGGCGGCGGCGACCGCTCCTCCGGGCAGCGCTGCGCTTGTAGGGCGAGGGGTGGTAGCCGCCGGGAGGAGAGAGATGCGCGCACACACCCGTGCAGAGAGAGAGGGAGGATGGATGGATGGAGCCAAGAGGAGGTAGAGACACCCAGCAGGGAAGGGAGAAAGAGAGGGAGAGATGTCCAGAGCTGACGAGAATTGCACGGAGATCAGTGGAAAGGGGAGGAGAAAGAGGCAGACATGAGAGACACCTCTCAGGGGAGACGGGCACTTGCGAGGGAAGTGCGGGTGAGGGAGGCTGCGACAACGCTCTGGTCTGATTAACGGGAGAGCGAGCTACAGCCCGGAGAGGAGCGGCGGCGGCAGCAGCAACAGCGGGAGGCAGGTGGCACTTCCTCAGTCTCTGAGAGCTCCGTGACCGAGTGCAGCCAGAGAGGAAAAAGTCACTTGGAAGCCTCTCTTTACCTCCCACCTTCCCATCCCATTTCTCTGGGGAGTCCCATGCCTGCCGTTGTCTGGGATGGCAAAGCGTGAGAGCTGGCACAGAGAGAAATCGGAGCTCTTTTATATACACTGTACGTAGGAGGGAAGAAAAAAAAATCCCGCCCGTGAGGCTGTCAAGGTCCTCAGTATGTACAAATTTCTGTCTATCTCGGCTCCTCTCACCAAGCCGCCCCCTCCCCTGCCTGTGACGCAGTTGTGCGCTGGGGCCATCAGTGTGAAGAGGCAGGGAGGAAAAGAAATGCTTCATGCTTCCTCGTGCAAGTAAGTCGGCAGGTCACGAACTATCCCTCCTAGTCGCCTTCTCCTCTCTCCAGTGCAGGTCTCCTCACCTTGGTATTTTGGTTCTGAGATCACCGTATATTACTGGGAGCAAAATAAAGTGAAACGACAAATGCAGCAGCAGCAGTAAATGCAAAAATGCGAATCATAGGAGTAGAGACGTAATAGACTGCATGCAGACTGGATGAGGTTACAGGTTAACGATTTATTCTGGAGGCTCCGTTCATTAGGCTGTTGGCTTAGTGTTGCTGTACCAGTAGAAAACATTGGCTAGAGGAACAGTATGTCAAGCAGAAATAGCACTACACATCTGTTTCTTACCTTTTATATCTGCTCTTAATGCAGTCTGACAGTGCTAAACCCAAGGGAGGTTCCTTTCTCAACAGAAAAAACCTGCTTAGGAACATCTGCCCACTTGGGAGGGGTGTCACAGAGTACACTGCATCTGGGACATAATTACAGAATTAAAAGCTTTATGCTGAAACGTGGGAGAGGGATATGGGGGCAAAACTACGTATCACAACCAACTCATGAATCCCCATGCATGAAATGTTGGCAGTAAACAGAATACCTGCAATTCACCTGTACCTTAGAAATTAATATTTTAGAAGAAGATTTATCCCTAGGAAAATGATGAAAAAGATTGTATTTTCCCCCAGTAGTATTTGCATTGGCCAGCTTTACCCATGTGCTCATGAGCTGTCAAAAGTTCGGTATACTAACTCTTTGTGAAATCAAGAAACAAGATTGTAGGAATCATTTCCCTCAAGCTGGAATGTTTTAATTCCTCATTTGTAAAATATTATAGCTTGAAAATTTCTCCAGAGAAACACAAAACTCAAACATTAATTAACAATTTTATTACTGTTATATTTACTTTATGAGTGAAGTATATTACTGTTTTGTTTAGTTTTTCTATGAAATACTGCTTCTGAGTATAAACTAATATTAGGATTTGTGTTTAATGTTGATAAAGTTCTGACTTTAACACTGCAAGAATTCAGGGCACCAAGTCCTACTTTCAAAGGAAGAAAAATCACTACTGTGCATTTTAAATATTGATTTATTCCACAACAGCTGGACTGAAAACTCTGTGGTGCCTCAACTTTGCTCTCGGTATTCAGTGATAAAAAAGACAAAAACCATTCTAAAGCAAACAGAAGAGACAGCTCATTTTTATCCAGGAACTGATCTGCTGAGAAGAGCAGTAGGAAGAAAAGCCTAAAAATCTTCATGCAGAATAGGACAGATGAAACTTTCATAATTTCTGAGACTCTAGAAATGCATCTCTTATGACGATATATATGAAATCATCAATAGTGAATACTGGCTACTTAATGTCTAGTTACAAGCTCTAAAAGATGTGGATATGTACATATAAAATAGTTTTAATCAATGAATACATAGACAGTATTTATGTGGGAAAAATTGGTAGTATAGTTATTTCAAAAGCTGCACAGTACATACTGCAGCCATTACATTGACTTAATAGGAAAGACTGACTTTCTTTTTACAGTAAGAGATGTACATATTTGCTATGTATACATGGATTTTTCCTGCATGAAGATGTATGAACATTTGAGTACTATAAAATGAAATCTGGAAAATTGTCTTGATTATCTTAGTTCATATCACATTCATAATTATTTTGTCAATGTACAGTAAACAAAAGTTACCCCTAAAAAAAGCTACACCGAAGAAGTAGCCATTGTCAGTATATATAGTTAATTAATGAATTGGTTTCCTGAGCTTGAAGTAAAAGAATTAAACAGTCTGATTTAGTTAGGCTCTCACAGTTTCTTATCTTCATGTTTCCCTGTGACCACTTTTGATACATGTCAGTGAGGCAAAGAACATATTCTAGATTATTGCATGATAAGAACACAAAATGTCTTTGAGTTTTAATTGAAACTTCTTGTTCATAAAAAGATTAACTTTACTCTGTACATTGTCTAGACTTGCTTCTCCATCCAGGAGAAGAAAAAATGGTTCTCTACTGGAATTCTAGGGACCTTAGTAATAGGAATTAAATAAAATAATTATTTTACTAGTGGACTATGTCTTAGTCTACTCACATGGGGTTGACATAAACATATGAACAAAACTATGAAATTACAAGTGTCTTTCAAGTTGTCAAAGGGAAATACTTTCATGTCTAACAAACAGCCTTCCATCCATACCTTATATTTTCCATGAACTACAGCCAAAATGATAATCATAGGTAAACTTTTTTGTGTCTGTTGGCTGTGCACTGTGTATCACATTTTATTTTTGCTTATTAAATAGCATTTTTCTGAACTTCCTCACCTGATGTCATTTCCCCAGATTACTCATTGCCACTCAAATCTTGAATAGCTTTACAGACTTTGCTCAAAAGTATTCATGGCTCTTTTTTCTTCTTCAGTTAGTCAGGCAAACAGATGAAAGTGGTTAATCTTTATGTCCCTGTTATGAGTCAGATTCCTGACACTTTCTCTTTGTTTTTTTGTCTTTCTAATGCTCTTCAAATGAAATAAATTCACATAGTCATGTCCCTAAGGAAGTCTCATGCTCATATTTTGTAGGAAAAATGGCCTAGGGATATATATCCTTTAGTAAATCTTTAAATAGTAAAGAGAACTTCCAAAGAGAAGAATTTTGAAGTATGTATCCAAACTAGTCAGATTTTATTAACTCTCTTTTTTCCTCCTTTCCATTGCAAAACTTTGGAATACTGTTCATTTTTAGACAAATGTCTTACATCAAGCTGTTTACATGTTGTACCCTAGAGAGAACTGGTGGATCAGGAATATGGTTAAGTTGTAGTTGCAGTTATTGATTGATAAAACAAGCAACAGAGGAACCATCATGCAAAGAAACCCAAGTAGTCCTGGTCTATGTGAATTTACACATTAATAAAGTCAAAAGATATACAGCGAGTCTGAGGGTGATGAGCATTTATGCTTACTGTGGAACGATACTTATCAATAAGAGGTGGGATATACCTCTCAGCAAATTAAAAGGATAAGGGGTGGTTTTGTTACTGAATTTTATTCTATTATGTATTTTTAATCCAGAAGACACTAAATTTGGATGAGAACACAAAAAATGAGACATCGCTGTGCTTTGGATAACGATGGTAGTAGAATGAATGATTTTAAAATGGTTTTAAAACAATTGTTACTTGAATGTGGGAATTCTCACATGAATGAATGAATGAACATGCACTTCCGCTATAAAGATGCTTATTTTTTGGGTAATTATTTATACATTCAGAAGCTAGAATCGGAGAGTATTTAAAAGATGCTTAAGAGAATTACAAGATGCTTAAAAGATCTGCTTAAAAGATGTTAAAAAGAACTACAGAATACTTAAGTTACAGTAAGTAGAGAAAGAAATTGATGGGACTGGACATCCATTGACCTCAAAACTTAGTGCAGAAAGTGTCAGTGTGCTAAATGATAAGCAAATAATGCTTTAGAATTATTCTTTAAACTTTTGGTTTGTACAAAGCCTTTGAACATGCTTTATGACGTAGATATATTCTAAGTGTGTTTTGATAAATAAACTGAGAAACACTGGGAATAGATGGTAGTAGGGGGAAATTAAACAGTTATGTTGTTTATAATGTATACATATAATGCTGTGGCATTGCTGTGAGTCAGGGAGTTTCAACTTGTTAAACTGATTTTCCTCCCATAATAACATATTTAAAATACTATAAATATGCCCACACTTATTGGCTATGATTGTTTTCTAATGGCAAGAAAGGAATAACAAACCAGGCAAACAGTAAATTGGACCTGATTCACCTGTCAGTGCTTATGTATGGTTTTTTGTAGCGAGTTTTCAACTGAAATTGAACTTTTGAGAATGATTTTGCCTTTGATAAGTTAAAAGGTTAAATGATGTTATTTCTTAAAAGTGAGCTAGCACAGCACAGGCTAGGTTTCTGAAAATGTGGTGACATAACCAGCTACATTTATTTCAGCTGGTAACAAAAATTACTACTCCACAGTTGTTGAATGCCTCCTTAGTAATACTGGGTAAAGTAATGATATATGAATTGCCCCTAGTGGTGATTTGAACAGATACATTTTACTCTGCGTTACAGGAGCCTAGAATAGCACAGTCACTTATATTAGCCTGGGGTATGGTAATTTCTTAATCCATTTTATTATGATCACAACCAGTTG